CTGCACAAAAGTTTATACAAAGTCGTCCCACTTAAAAGCTCATCTGAGAACTCACACTGGTATGTACTCCTTCCTTATTCATTCCTTGTTTAATGAGGTGTGTGGGGTTTTTTTGTTGTTTTTGGTTAATGAGTAGGGATGTAATATCCTGTTTAAACTTGGTTTTACTGGTTAACCAATTAAACGGTTAACTGAGGGGGGATGGGTGTGGAGGCCGCAGGCCAGCCTCTGTCTGCAGTGGGCTTCAAGGGGCTGACGCAGCCTCTTGTCCGAGGCACGCCATTAATCGAAACTGGTAAGCCAGTCAACATTTCATATCCCTCATAATGGGTAGATTTGTTTTGATAGTTTAGTTAAATAAATAAACTTAAAAGCTGAAGTTGCATATTTATTCTGAAAGATATTTTGTTGAGGTACTTTGAATTCTTCATAGGTTTTAAGAATTGAAAACAAGCAAAACAATCCATTAGAAACTCTTTTTTTGTTTTTTCTCCAACACTTTTTAAAGGAAAAATTGATATTTGATTTCTCTCCCGTCCCCCACGTCTTGACTGTATTGCGATAAATATATTATCTATCAGTTTACTTCATTAAACATTCAAGGTCTCCTTTCTTTTGGCTTTATCACTTTAAATACTGGTGCTGATACAGTTCTATTTTTTTTAGATTCCCACCCCCCTCAGATTTCGATATAGCTCTACAATTCATCTCCACTGCTTTTTCTGCAGCATTAAATTTGCTTGTTTAAAAACCAATTGATTTGCATCTTTGAAACACTATTCTTTCTTTTATTTCTTGAGTTACTGGAGAGGTAAGAAAATTAAACTGTTGGTGTGCAACCTATGTAGTCATTCCATAGACCAAATCCTCTCTGAAGCAACCTGCATAGGTCTATTTTGGTTCACTGACTCTAGTATTAACTAAGGGTACGTCTACACTTGCTCCCTAGCTTGAGCTAGGGATGCAAATGTAGCTGACCGAAATTGCTAGTGAAGTGGGGATTTAAATATCCCGTGCTTCATTAGCATAATCTCGCCTGCACGTTATTCTGCTCGCCAGCTAGATTCGAACCAGGAAGTGCGCTCCGGAATGCATTAGTTCGAACCATTTCATTCTAACTAACGCGTTCCGGAGCGCACTTCCTGGTTCAAATCAGCGGGCGAGCAGAATAACGTGTGGGCGAGATTATGCTAATGAAGTGTGGGATATTTAAATCCCTGTTTCATTAGCAATTTCGGTCAGCTACATTTGCATCCCTAGCTCGAACTAGGGAGCAAGTGTATACATACACTTTGGGTCCCCTTCCCCACTTGACACATGCAAGTTACAAACACATTAGAAAGAGCAGAACCATTCTATCCAAACCAAAGCTCCACTTTATACTTAATTTTTTTTTTTTGTAAGGTGTCTGACATTGCAAGGGAACTCTTTCTTTATTACATATTTAAAAAAAAACTGTTTGGGGGTAATTCCTGTGTAGGAGTCTTACTTACAAAATTGTTTTAGTAGTTTAGCTGAACCCTTTTTTCAATGAAAAGTAGGGTGTGGGGTTTAAAGAAACCTAGGCTAAAGCCTATCTAGTTGCTGAATGTGTCTCTCCAATATGAAATACATACTTACGGGGGTGTGATCCTTAAATCCAAAGAACTTTGATTCTAATTGAAGCAAAATGCTTACTGTAAAGAGTTGTCACATTTAAAGTTGTGCTGTGAATAACATGGTTTCAACTTTTTTTTTTTTAAAGCAAAAGTCAAAACAAAACTTACATTTTGTTAGATCATAGCTCATGTTATTTCATCATCTCTATGAAAAAAGGCCTTGTGTTCAACATTACTATGAGTGAATTGTTGAATTACTACTGTAAAGGAACAGACTATCTCCAGGCAAAATGTTACTATGGAAATGCAGTTATCTTACAAACCCAGTAAAAATTAAAAGCAACTTTGCAAAGAATATTGATACTAATATTTTGTAATGCATTTAATCACTAATTACCAGCTAGCTTAATGAGAAAATAATTTCTTCTTTCAATGTGGATGTAAGCTCGACAAATAGAGTATAACACTGTCTAGTATGAGTGCGTGCCACTAGCCTATTACATTTCAACCAACCATTAGATTTTAAAATACATAACTTCCTGTACACGGTGACTTTATGAACAGACCAGAAAATAAAGCTGAACTTAAAAATGGAATTTTTCCCAAGATAAAAATGAAAATCAGTCTTATTTTCATAAGTATGTATGTTTTCATATCTTTAATAGTATTGTCCCCTCCCCCCTCCCGAATTCTAAAACTAACATTCTTGTATATAGGGAAATATTTCCCAAAGTTCTGGTTGCTACTACTTATTGTTAAGGATGGTTAAAGGTTAATATTGCTTTCCACTTTTTTACTTGTAGACATTTGACCTCAGCCGTGTGGCTAAGTGTACAAAGGTCAGGGAAGCTGATGTATTCATAAAAACAAGAATGCTGCTTCAGATAAAATCTAGTGAATTTAAGCAAGCCTTTAATACAAAGAGTATTTTAAGGAGATGAATGAAGGGATAAATTGTCCAAAGGGTTAAAATAGAAACGTTAGTCCATTTCCTGTTAACAAATTTATTGTAGAGTCTAAATAAATCTGACACCTTTAAATATCCATTTGAGAAGCCGAGGTTTTTAAATTAAACCATCCTTGTGTTCAGACACTTGAAAGTTTGCACACAAGTACACCAGTGATATTTCCAATTCTGTATAAATTAATGAACTGAAAGATTGAGGGCTAAATTCTGCCTTAATAAAAGTGGGCACAACCTCGAAGTCCATAGAGAAATACTAGGGGCCCAATTCTCCAAGAAGACAATGGGAGTTTTGCATTTGACTTGAAAAGGGAAGTATCAGACCTGTTCGGGCTAAATTTGGCTGTGCGTAGGAGTCTGTATGAATTCCACACTTTGTGCGCTTCCTTAAACCAATTGGATTTATGCAGCGCTACTAAGATTAAAAAGAGAGAAGCTTAAAAGTACCTGTACTTTTATGGAATAGTTGGCTTCAAAGTTTATATTAATAGGTGAGTCTCACATAATCCAGTTTAATAAAGGCTTTTTTTGTGTGTGTGATTCTTTCAAATCCCTTAGGGGTGCAGTAGACCTGTCTATCTGGCTAAACCCGTTCTTTGGTAATCATGGACCACTGCTGAAGTTGGTTTCTCTTTATTCTTAGTTTCTTGACAATACCTTTTAAATTGGCTGCAATCTCTCTCTTCCCAAACAACCCCCACCCTCTTCAGCAATCTGTTATTTTAAAATCAAAAGTGCCTGCAGCAAAGTTTGTCTGCCATTTAAAAGTCAAAACAAACCTTATGCCTTTCCTTTGTATTGGAAAATCTCAGCCTTTTCACAGTATTTATTTAGCAGTCTCTCCCTTCTGTGAATGGCTTTCAATGAGTTTAATAGACGTTCTTTCAGAACAAACTTAAGGGAAATCTTATTTCTGAAAGACTATGGCTCACATTTTGTCTGTTTCCTCATTCAAATATGAGCCAGTTGGCAGGTTCATGAGTCACATTTAAATGAGGTCATAAGAAGAGGCTGAGAGTTGAAAGTTCCCCTAATATTTTTCTGAAAAATAGAGTTGGGTCAAATCCAGCCCTGTCTTAACAAGGTAAAGCTCCCTTAATTTTAGTGGAGTTATTCCAGGGATCTGTTTTGTTTGTTTGTTTTTAATTTTTTCGTTTAATTCTCATGATGAATAGAGTATTGTAGTTCCTGAAATAAGTAACTATGTCTTCAAGTTATGGAGGGAATTTTGATTGGTGATAAGACAGTATCCTCAAAATTTAACACAGGCAGACGTGCTCTTACAAAGGACCAGGGTTTATTTTTGTATCCTTTGAACACTTTTGAATCAGGTGACAAGTTTTCTTAGGTAACATCTTAAAAGCACTACTGTACATTATTTTACTAGCATCAGGATCAAATGCTAATCCAATCTTAGCACCTACTCATTTTAATCTGCTATAGGGTACATTTAAGAGCATCTTTCACTATAGATGACTGACTTCCACCTCTTACAGAGATTTTCTTCTAAAATACATTGACCTATTAGTCATAGGACAACTTTAGTTTCATAACACGTATTGTGCAATCATCATATAATGCATGTGGCTTTTTAAGTACGACTATTCTAAGCTATACTATAGTAAAATTAGCAGTTCATGCTAGTGCCTTAAGGTATGTGCCCAATTTTGAAAAACCTGTCAAATGTCTAAGCAGCAGCTAGGGTGCATTTATAAACGTACCCCATCATTATTTAACTTTCTTTCTTGTTGCTTGAATATACATTAACCGTTCCCACATGGATATCTCTACTGGGTTCTACAACCCCTCCTCCCCCAACCCACTTGTATTGATACATTTGAGCTTCTTTTTAAAAAAAAAAATAAAAATACTGAAGTCTTGAGTTCTCCCACCTGTAACATTCTACAACTGTAGACTTCGCTGCTTCATTTCTGTGAGCAGCTGCACATTTCAGAGATGTATTCTCCTCTATTTAGAGGAAACTCTATCATTATTTTGTACACAACAGGGTACACGCATTGAGGATGTTTTTCAGCTGCATATTGGTTTTCTGTACACAGTCTTTGTACAGGCTTGTTCTCTGATCACATGATGGGATTGCCATTAATAGAGAGATGAAATAGTTTTGGAGTTAATGTTAGAAACTATCTATAGATCTTACTTGTTTGTGGTGATGGGAAGTGACAGCCTGGATACCTCAAGAGCAATGGCATTTCCTTAAATGAGATCAAGTCAGAATACTTCAATATCCCTCATTATTTGAAACTTTGTTTATAGGCTTGGGACAACTGTTAACTTATGCAGTGCTTCAAGATGTTAAACTTAATATATGGTTACATGTCATTAGATCCAGAATTGGACAGTGAGCATCAGTCAGTCAAAACCATGATCATCTCCTCTGAAGTGGGTTTTGCCTACAAAAGCTTCATGATACTATACGTAGACTTGTGTAAGTCTGTAGGGTGCCACAGGACTATTCATTGTTTCCTTTTTAAAA